TAGCCAAAAATTTAAATTTTCATAAAGCCCCACTATTATCAATATGATTTTTGATTTTGTCTTAAGGCACTGTTAAGAATTTAGTATAAAGAGTAATTGGTTAAATGTCTTGCCACTTTGGTTTTAGGGAGAGCGAACGGGGTATAAAATTCATTAAAATTTATGTAAAAAATTGTTTAAACAATTTTAGAAATTTTTAATATTTCAATTATTGCGTAATTTCGAGTTTGTAAGAGAGGCTGCGCTGTGAGCTCCCTCTAACTTTCATCGATCATAACGTCGGAACTAAAAAAAAACAATAAACTTTTTTAAGAAGCGTCTTTTTAAATACTTTCAGGTTGAGATTACCGAAAGTACAAGCTGATTGTAGCCGCAAATGTCAAACATGGAACAAAAAATTTCGGTTTAGCAGTGTTGGCATGTTTTTATAATGTAGATGTTGTATGCTTCAAATATAAAAAGATAAAGCTTTAGAAAAGTACATTTTGTTTATATTCTGTTATGAATTCGGCAATTTTTGATTTATATAAAACAAGAATGAGTAAATATTTGGTTCTTTAGAGATTAATTGTAGTTAATTATTAGCAAAAATTTTTGACAATTACCCTTTGATAGATTAGGAAATATATTTGGCAATCGTCAAATCAGCAGTTGCCAGATTGCAACAGATTTAAAAATTGAATTCATAAAATAGTATAATCAAAACGTACTTTCTCTTTTTATATTTGAAGCATACAACATATGCATTCTAAATACATTCCAACACTGCCAAACCCAAATATTTTAATTCTTGGTTGACATTTGTGGCTATATTCAGCTTATACTTTCAGTAAACTCAATCTCTTTCAATATGTACTTTGAATGGTCAAGAATTTAAAAAGTTATCCTAATTGTCTCTTAGCTCAAAAATTCAATAATTATTAACAAATGTCCCTAGGCTCCCCTAATTAACCAATTTCAATTTTTCAAAATTGATTTCAAAGTTTGAATGCCATATATACAGGGTGGTGAATCGTCAAACGATGGGAAACAACGTCACATGAAAACTCAATGGGAAATTCTAAATTGTTCAATTCCAGCTTACCTAATTATTTACACCAAAACTCATGGAAAACTATTTCTAGAGGACTGAAATCTGTATTGAGAACAGATGTTAAAATTGCTCTAGAAATTAAACGTATTCCAAAATTTTGCAAAAATCTAATACATTTGGCACACGCAGTGCAAGAATGTATGTGACGTTGCGTTTGATCATATTGATGTTTCTGATAGACAATATCAATTGCCAAAATTTTTATTTTGGGATTTATTTTTTAAAAACCAATAAAGTTATTTAAAGATGTACTCAGTTGAGGAGAAAGTAGCAATAATAAAAATGTTTTATTCAGGCAAAAAGTACGCGAAGTGTCAGTTCTTTATTTAACACCAATTCTAAGTCATTCAACAATTCAAAGGATATTACAAAATTTTGAAATTACTGGGACCGTGATTTCTAATTGTACATGTACAAACAATATTGCTAAGGTACCAAGACATTTAGAAAATCAGAATGAAATAAATGTATAAACGGTAGTAGTAGAAAATCCTGGAATAATTTCTCGGATAATTGCAGACCAGTTTAATATTCATAATTTCACGGTCTTAAAAATTTGGAAAAGGAATAAATTCCGTTCATATAAATTTCAATGTGATCAAGAACTAGGGAGAAGGAGATGCTGGGAGACGATCGGAATTTTGTTATGAAATTTTAAAGGGGGCTAATGCAGACAGATAATTTTTTAAAAACATTTTGTTTAGTGGTGAATGTACATTTATTGGATCATTTTTCTATGAGGAGAATTTAAATTAAAAAAAGTTTTTAGACTTCCCACACGAAGAGATTTTATCGAGACTTGCAGAAATAGCTCCAGATGAATAAGAAATTTGGTTTCAAATGGATGGATGCCCTGCGCACAATAACTGGGAGGTTAAGGATTTCCTTAAAAACAGCTTTAATAATTATTTGATTGGACCTAACTATAACATTAAGTGGCCTATGAGATCAGGAGATCTAGCTCCAAATGATTATTTGATCTGGGAGCATCTAAAACCAAGAATCTATTCTGACCATAAATTTACAGATATTAGAAGACTTAAAAATGCAAATTATTGAAGAGTGTGCAAAAAATAACGCCACGCGTTCTGGCTAATGTTAGAAGAGAATTTTATAATCGATTGTGATACTGTTTAGTACAAAATGGCGGATTGATTGAGCATTTCTTATAATTTTGTTTAGAAATTGAAATTATCATAAATTATTTAATAAGGATCACAGTAAAACTATATTGAAATTCTTTGAATTGTTGTATAACCTGAATTGAATTGGAGTGTATTAGAATACCTTACGTTAAGTAAAGATCTGGCAGTGTTCGTATTATTACCTGAATATTGCGATGTTTCATCAACCTGGTTCATTTCATTAACTTTATTGCTTTGTAAACAATGTGATTTATTGTTTACAAAGTAATACTTATTTTTCAGTAGTAGTGGTACTATGTATTTAGTAAAATGGATTGTTTATAATTTAATCATAAAATAAGAATATTGGCAATTCAAATATTGTCAAACATCTTACATCAATATGATCAAACGCAACACGTCATACACATTCTTGCACTACGTGTGACCTGAAAAATGTATTATATTTTTGCAAAATTTTGGAGTACGTTAAATTCGTAGAACAATTTTAATATTTGTTTTTAATGCATATTTCAGTCCCCTACAAACAGCTTGTGAGGACTTTTGATGTAAAATAATTAAGGAAGCAGGAATTCAACAATTTAGAACTTTCTATTGAGTTTCCTATGGCCCGTTTTACGATCTACCACCCGATATGTCATAAATTATTCAACTATCTGAAGATAATGAAGAAAAGTTAGATAGCAAAATTATTGTACAAAAACTATTTAATCGATTTTATTAAAATTTTGTGTGATGAATGGACGAAGATTAAAGAAGTATAAAAGGAATATGTGTAATATTAGTATATAATAAATAAAATCCCAAAAAAGCTCTACTTAACTATTTTTTTTTTGTGATTTTTAGTATTTTTAAATTAATAATTATAATTTTTACGATTTTGAACCACATTTATCTTATAGAAAGTTCTGTAACTACGTTTATATACTTCCCACTCAAATAAGGGTATTTTAGAACAGTTACAGCCTGATTTACATTTTAAATGTACAAAAAATAAATAATTAATTAAACAATAAATAAATAAAACGTTTCTATAAGTATACAGTTCTACTTAAAGTTGATTCTTAAAAAATATAATAATTTACTGGTTAGATAACAATTTTCGTTTTTATATAATTATAATACAAAAAATAATGTTTTATTTTTTGAAAATCGAGACACGTATTTAGCGCACATATTTAAAAAAAAAACGTGATGTTATTTTCAAGAAAATTAAAAATTTATGATAAAAAAAAAGCATACTAAACTTAACAAATAAAGAATTATTTTTTGACAATAAAGACGTCTCCTTCCTTCATCAGTCTTATGTTAGGCAGAAAAAAATTAAAACGTCAAATATAATAATTTGCACACCTGGTATCACTGGTTTCGAAAAATACTTAAATGTTTAAAGTTTAAATTACTTATCTAAATTTTTCCTACGGATTCCCTTAAATATAATCGGTGATAAAAATATGTCTCCAAGAACCACCAATTTGTTATAGTATACTTTTAATAGTCTATGTACAGTACGTCAACCTAATGAGCCGAACAATCAAACAGAGTTTAAGTTTGTAAATTAGTGTGTTCAAAATTGAAACAATTGAATATCGTTACAGGATAAATTTCTTGGCAAAAAGAAGGTTTAACGGCGACTAAAATTCATTTGTTGCTTGGGCAAATTGGAAATCATTCACAAAGAAGATGATATGGTTTGCACTCTACACCATTATGTAAGAAACATTTTGGTCACATCTTGTACCAGAAATTAAACAAAAAATTAAACATGAAATATCTTCGTGGCAATGTCACATTCAGAAATTTTTTTTGTCGCGTTTAAGAAAACCAAAAGTATCTCTTTGAATCTATACATTACAAAGGGTTAAACATGGATTCACCATTGCATAACCCAAATCGCACAGAAGTCTAAGCAGTGAATATAAATCGGTTCTTCAGCTCCAACAATAAACTTGGACGGTGTCACTGATGGGAAAGGTCATTTTCAGTTGGCGTTTTGGGACGCGAAAGTAATTTTGGTAATTGGATATCTTGAAAAAAGTATTACGTTTAAAGTCAATGACTTTTTTCATCAGAACAATGCACCTATCCACAAAATTGTCTGCACTATGAAGCCATAGTATTGAAGCCAATCAAGAAGCCATTGCGTCTATAGATAAATATATGTTGCAATTCTAAAGCAACTCAAAGAGAGCATTGGAATACCGCTGGATGAAATGTGTTGTAAATATTACTTTGGAAAGCATAATTTATCGTTTTCTTTATCAAACCAAGAACCCAAGTATAACATATGGTTACAAAATTTGAGCAACGTGCAATCTGCGGAATGCTTGGCCTGTATGGACAGTTGTTGAAGGTTGAAATCAAAAGTCAACTAGACAAGATTGGTAATTCCATATTTGACATATTTTTAATGATTATAAATATCTTTAGATCAAATTTTAACTCCAACATAGTTTACTTCTCGTTTTAAACAATAGGTATGTTTATTTTAATTTTTTGTCATCTATTTCTTTCAAAATGCTGAAAAATCTCATATTTAAGACAGGTCTAAAATCAAATGGGAACTGACTTTCAATGAAATTCGTAGGAAAAACTATGTACATATAAAATTAAATTAACACAGAACAGAAATAATAAACTGATATAACTTTGGTCGAAGTTTCTTCATAATAATTTCTATGGAGTTATCTCCAAAAAAATATCCTAGCTTCAAGTTTGTATACAACAATCTAGCTGCAACGAATTAAATAGGAACATTCACATCACTCGTCCACATCCTAAAAATAAAAATTTTGTTAAATATTTTTCACGAGTACAAATAAAAACATAGTATGTAATTCTGGAGCATTTGATGGATTAATACCTTATATTATACACTATTACAGAATTGTTTATCTTCTATTTTCAGAAGTTTATTTAAGGAATCATTTTTGCCTCATACAGCTCAATAAATCATAACATAAAAATACGACACTTTCATAGTTTTTTTATAAGTAACAATAATGTATTATTTTTATTATTATAAGCAGAAATATAATATTCTATTGTTACAATGTAAAGTGACTAGCAAGGAAACATATTTTCTTACGCGCAGCCAATGATAGAATTCAAAATGTTCGAGGATGCAGGATAGACACGTGAACTCGGCTACTTTTGACCACTTACAACGCGTGATTTGTGATTTATAATTTTATTTAATATTTGCCAGACTTATAATAAACAATGAATTAGTGAAGATATATAAAACAATAATTCGACCGACGATGATGACGAAACTGAAACCCTTAGTATGATAAAAAAAAAACAAGAGAAATACTTTGGAATATAAAGGATTAAAATACTAAGAGCAAAAATTAGCAGATATATTAAATATGTCGCAGAAAAAGCTGCACAAATTCAACAAATACAAAGAAAGTGAACAAAATAACACATACAGAAGTTTTAATAGAACAAGTGTCCATTACTTCTGGGGGGATAGAACATATTATCAATTTGTGACGAACTTCATGATTCGAATTAAATCAATTATCCAGTTAATATTTTTTATGTGATCATAACATGTACACTGTTTAGTGTACTTGGTGTAAGTACACCAATTTTAAATCGAATTTAAAATTGTTTATTCTGATTATACTAGAATATCTCCTGATTAAGCTAGACATTTTCGATAAAAAATTTTCATTGCACTAATTTATAAAACATGATCGCGTAATATGTAGTGAATAGTAAATTATGTCAATTTTTAATAAAATTCGTAGTGAGCACGAATAGTTTCATCCCTAAAACTCTGAATAAGTTAATAATACGGTATTCGCCAAAATAAACAATACCAAAATAGTATCAGCAATTGATCTGTAGGAAATAAAACTCTATTTGTGCTATGTCTTAACATTTCGTCACGATTTTGTGACTTCTTCAGGAGAAAACTATAAATTTATTATAATAATTATTATATGTACACAAATTGAATATTTTCATACTTACAACTATTAGAGTAAAAATTTAAATTTTAATAAAACATATCTACTTAAGTGACATTTTTGATTTTAATTTATTAATAGGCCGTTACGGCCAATTTCACAATCAGAGGTTAACCCTAAGAGTTAAGTAACCTTTACCTCTAGTTTAACTGACAGATGACGTTTCACATTCACAGATTCGGTTATGGTCACTTAACCTTAGGTTTCGTTTTATTTTTCTTATGTTGGTAGGAAATTATGGACAACAATCAGATGTTTATGGAATATTGTCAGTAAATATTATGGACATTGACCAGTATAGATGAGTTATGACCCATTTGTCACGTTAGATCGAAAACAATATACGAATATTATTCTCATTTTCAAGTTCTGTTTTAGTGTGGCAGTTTGTTCTAAGTAGTCGTTGTTTGTTCTTTCAAGTTAAAATTAAAATTACAAAATAAACCAAGAAAAATATTCAATATATCGGCAAACTTTTCGCCAGAAGAGGAATAATTACTTATTTCCTTATACATGAAATAAAAAATTTAGAAATTGTATATTTAATTTGCTTCAAAATATTTTTAACTGTGTTCCTTGAAAATCTAAACCTTCATGATCTAGTTCTTCAAAATGATTTGTTCTGTGCCTAATGATTCTTGGTCTGCCAGCTTCCTTATCACTGCTAAAAACATTTACATCATATAAATTCATATCTGATTAATTAATAATTGATGTGTCTGTCTACACTCTGCCAATGTCAACAAAACGAAATTCGAAATTCGGTTAGGATATCCTGGTCAAGCTCTAAACCACCGCTTTTTCGTTGGGTTAAACATTTTGTAGGTTAACCACAATCCGAGCTGTTGACCTTATATTGTGAAACCTATATTTTATGGTAACCGCTGGTTATCTCTTAACCGCAAGGTAACTTTACTTTGTGAAACCGGCCGTTAGGAGTTATTATAAACGGTAAGTGACCATAACCGAATCTGTGAATGTGAAACGGCATCTGTCAGTTAAACTAGAGGTAAAGGTTACTTAACTCCTAGGGTTAACCTCTGATTGTGAAACCGGCCGTTAGGAGTTATGGTAACCGCAATATTTTATAGAGTGAATTCCCGTTGTACAATTTTTAGTGAATAAGTTAAGGTAAACAATTATTATGACAGTATTATCCATATTATAAGGTGGAAAAGTAGAGAATTGAGAAACATTCAGGAACATGGTAAATTGATCTATAAAATGTAGTTGATGGTACGTAGTCAATTATTGTAATACTGATATTAATATCTATCATAACATATATTTCGTATATTGCAGTAGATATTACTTAAATGGTTGGTGTCTGTCTTATAATTGATAGATTCAGGAGTTTTATTAATGTGTACCATTTCAAGGAAAAGTCTATTTTTATAATTATCAATTTTTCCAAGATTTTTACATTATTATAGACAAAGTTATGTCCTGTGTTCAAGCGGTGGTGGTGGTGGTTCAGACATCAAGATTTGATTTCACGTATAGTGCGTCTGTGTGAACGTGAAAATAAGTTCTGAAACAACTGTGAATAGCTGTTCTGACGAGCCCTATTAGGGCGAAATACGTATAAGCAGATACACAGACGCACTATACGGGAAATCAAATCTTGACTGTCTTTTTCTTTTTATTCCGATCTACTCTGTACGAGTACAAGATACCAATTCGCTAAGGATTTTTGCTTAGTTAAGGAGATATGTCGTGGAATGCAAATTTTAGATTCCCCATGCCTCTATTAACATCTTTATCAACGTATGTTTTGCCTTGCAATTCTTAGAAGGCATCATCATCATTCAGCCCATACTCGTCCACTGCTGAACATAGGCCTCCCGTAGTTCACCCCACAAATTTCTGTCCTGAGCCGCCTGCATCCAATTTTGATGTGTCCGTTTCAGGTCATCCGTCCATCTTGTTGGTGGTCGTCCTCTATTCCTAAAGGCATCTTGTCTGGGTCTCCACTCAAGAATGCGTTTTGTCCATCTGCCGTCCTTCGTTCTCGCGACGTGCCCTGCCCAGTTCCATTTTAAGGTTGATATTCTTTTGATTGCGTCGGTTACTCCCGATCTACGGCGCAATTCTGTGTTGGGTATTCGGTCTCTCAGGGTTAATCCCAACATGGACCGTTCCATTGCCCTCTGTGTTGTTCGAATTTTGTTTGCGGACGTCTTAGTAAGTGTTAGCGTCTCCGCACCATAGGTTAGAACCGGCAGCACACATTGATCGAAGACTTTTCTCTTCAAGCAGATGGGAAGAGCTGATTGGAAAACATCTCTTAGCTTTCCATAAGCTGCCCATGTCAACCCTATTCTACGTATTAGTTCATTGGTCTGGTTATCTCTACTTAAGCGAATTTCGTGTCCCAGATATTTGTATGCTGATGTTTGTTCTATACTTGTTCCAGCTATGTTGATGTTCTCACTCAGAACAAGGTTTGTCATCACTTGTGTTTTTGAGTTATTGATCTTTAAACCCACTTGTGTAGAGGCATGGTAGAGTCTTTCGCACATTTCGATGGCATGATCTATGCGGTCTGTTATCAGGACTATATCGTCCGCGAACCTGAGGTGACTAAGCTGCTCTCCATTTATGTTTATGCCCTTTTCGTCTAGGTTTGCACGCTTACACATGTATTCCAATAATGTTGTAAACAGTTTTGGTGAAATGGTGTCGCCCTGGCGAACTCCACGATGAATGTTGAACTTGTGTGTATCTTCATGGAGTCTGACGCATGCCGTGGCATTATCATAGATATTTTTGATGACAGTGGTGTAGCGGTGATCTATTCGGCACTCTTTTAAAGCTTCTAGCATTTTCTGGTGGTTTACTGTGTCGAATGCTTTCTCATAATCCACAAATATTAGGACGAGGGGTTTATTGTACTCTATACATTTTTCGATGAGGCTTTTAATAACTTGTAGATGGTCGTTTGTGCCGAAGCCTGACCTGAATCCTGCCTGTTCGCATGATTGGTAAAAGTCCATTTTGTTCGAAAGTCTGTTTGTTATGACTTTTGTAAAAAGCTTGTATATGTGTGAGATGAGGCTGATTGGTCTATAGTTTACGAGATTTGTTAAATCTCCTTTCTTAAACATTAGAATGATCACTGCATTTTGCCATTGTGATGGTGTTGTTCCTCTTTCAAGGCATTCTGTGAAAAGTATGGAAAGCATTTGTATCAGTTTCTCGCCTCCTAATTTTATGGCTTCGGCAACGACCCCGTCGTCGCCAGGTGACTTATTATTTTTCATTTGTAGGAGAGCTTTTTTGATTTCATCAACAGTAACATCTGGTATGTCTTCCGAGCCCTGGTTTAGAACCTTTGGTATGTTGTCAGTTGGAACATTTTCTTCTGTTTTGCTGTAGAGTTCGCTGTAAAATTGTCCGACAGTTTGTAGAATTTCCTGTTTATCTGTTATTATTTCGCCCTTTGTGTTTTTCAGTTTGTAAATATTTTTCTTTCCTATTTGCTGTTTCCTTCTGAAGACTTTTAAACTTTTGTTCTCTTCTATGACTTTTGATATCTCTCTGGTGTTGTAGTCTCTTATATCTTTTCTGATGTTCTTAGTGATTTGTTTGTTTAGTTGTCTCATTTTTGTTAGATTGGTTCTGTATTTATCTGTTAGTTGTCTTCTTTCCTCTAATAGAGTTTTCGTGCTTAGACTTAGTTTTTCTTCGTCTTTTTGGTTTTTTGGGCAACATTTTTCTTGTGCTTGTTTCAGAGCTTTGACTATTTTCTGGTTTAGTTGTTCGATGTTTATGTTTTCTGTTTCTTCGTTTTGTAATTTTTCTTCGACCGTACGTTCAAACAGTTTTGCATTTTCAGGTGGTACCCATCTTCTAACATTTGGTTTAGGAACAAGCTTCATTCTTTCTTTTTTAACGTTAAGCATTACTTTTGTTCTTATCATCCTATGGTCGCTGCCAGCAGAGAACTTGTTGAGTACTTCCACGTCTTGTATTATATATTTTTTATCTGTAATTATAAAGTCGATTTCGTTTTTGACGGCGCCATCAGGGCTTATCCAAGTCCATTTGTTTTGGGGTTTCTTTTTAAAGAAAGAGTTCATTTGAAACATGCATTGATGATGTAGAAAGTTTAAAAGCATGTCCCCTCTTGCGTTTCTTGCCCCGTATCCGTACTTTCCTAACGCGATCTCCGCTTGGTCTTGTTTGAATCCGAGTTTTGCGTTGAAGTCGCCCATGAGAACAGTATAGTGTGTTCGTGTTCTTTGTTGTGCCTCAGCTACATCCTCATAGAATTTTTCAACTTCTTCATCTGTGTGTCCAGTTGTCGGGGCGTAGACCTGTATAACTTTTAAACTATAACGAGAGTTTAGTTTTAATATCAATAGGATGACTCTCGTGCTTATGGTCTCGATTTTCGTTATGTTGGGTATGTGTTTTTTATGTACAATGATCCCGATTCCACCGCTGGATGAATGTTCCTCTCCTCTGTAGTGGAACAGGTGTCCTGATTTCAATGTTTGTTGTTCTTCTCCTCTCCTTCTAATTTCACTAAGTCCCATTACATCCCATTTTATTGTTTTTAATTCGTTTTCCAGTTCTATTAGTTTATGATCGGTTGAGAGGGTTGAGAGGGTAGAAGGCATAGATTAAAGCAAAAATCTGAATTTGGTTTCGAAAATTAGTTTACGGATTTTAAATAAATAGTGTTGTAAATTGAGAAGTAAAATTATTCTAAATTAATGAGATATTTTTAATAATTTAACATTACCTTATGATAGCCCATTTTAAATAATGACTCGTAACATCTATTATTGGAACGCTTCTTATGTATCCAAAAGGCTACTAATAATACTGGTATGGCTAGTGCAACTATTCCAAGGAACACGTAACCTAGAAAAAAATATATATTATTGCTGTTTTCCTATTTAATTTTTATTTTGCAAATAAATTATTGTACGGCTATCAATACTATTAACGTTAATACTAATAATATCTCAAATATCGAGGCGAAAATTATTAGTACAAATATTGTGTTGGCGAGAATCAGAGTGGGTTAAGCAAATCGTTTGTATAATTCAGTCAGGTAATACAATACGTGGAAATAGAGTGGAACAATTCTAGAAAGAAGGAAATCTAATTTAAGAATATGCACATGAAATGTCAAAAGTCTATTTGCGGCTGGAAAACTTGAGAATGCAATTCAAGAAATGAAAAGAATGGAAATAGATCTACTGGGAATCAGCGAATTTAGATGGCCAGAGTCAGGGACTTGTAAAATGGACGGTTTACCGTATTATGTCTGTCATAGAATGTTTTTTTTTCAGTCAATATATATTCTTGAAAAAGGCATGGATTTCCTGCCGAAACGTCGGAAAAAAAATATATAAAAATGTCTTAGTATCAAATTATTTTTTTTATGAACCTAAGCCCAAGAGGATCCACTAAAAAAATATATATTAAGGTTCAAGAACTAAACTCAAACTATATATATATATAGTTTGAGTTTAGTTCTTGAACCTTAATATATATATTATATATATATGTAAATAATACCAAACTTGAGCAAGTTGATAAAATCGTTTACCTTGAACAACAATTAAATTGTAACGCAGAAAGTTACGACGAAAGTAGATTTAGGATAGAGCAGGCTAGAGCTGCTTTTAGAAGGATGCCGAAGGTGTTATGTAACTGACCTAAAATTGGCATTGAGGATCCGCCTACTTCGCTGCTACGTGTTCTCGGTCTTACTTTATGGTGTCGACTCCTAAACTGTGATTAAAGTCGATCTAAATCGCCTTGAGGTTTTAGAAATGTGGTGCTATAGAAGAATTTTAAAAGTTTCCTGGTTGCAGAAGATTCGAAACTCCACAATACTAGAACGTCTCAGCAAGACTACTGAGATCATAAAAAGCATCAAACAGAGAAAGCTGGAGTATTTCGGACATGTAATGAGAGGTCCCCACTTTAGATGGGTTTTCAAGGAAACGACCAAAGCTAAGAAAACGGATTATGAAACGGAAAATTATATACATATATTCACTGGAGTCTCGAAAGATAAAAGAGCCGCTAGGGGAGTATCATTACTAATAAAGAAAAAACTTAAGAATAATATCACTGACTGGTAAGCAATTGATGAGAATATCCTAAGAGTAAATATAGACATATATGGGCACAAGATTACCATGATAGCCGCTTATGCTCCCTCTGACGATGCAACAATCAACGTGAAAGAAGATTTCTTTCAAAAAATCGAGGATATACTTAACAACATAGGAAAAAACAGAGAAATAATTATGCTTGGAGACTTCAATAGTAGAACGGGATATCAGAAAAACAGCAGAGTAGTGGGACCTTTTGGAGAAATGGCAACTAATGATAATGGCGGTAGACTTATACACTTCTGTGAGAGCTATGAGTTAAAAATTAGCAATGGATTCTACAAACATAAGGACATACATAGATATACCTGGATTCAACAAACACGCAAGCTAAAATCAGTCATCGATTATATTATTAGTAAACAAAAATCTGTGTTGCAGTGGAATGATGTAAGAGTTCTCCGAGGAATAACATGTGGATCTGATCACTACTTAGTAAGAGCGAAAATTTTGTTCCCATTTAAGATAATACGCGGAGACCAAAACCTAGAAGACAAGCAAGCCTTGCAGACAGTGGACACTCCGAAGTACAACTCCAACAGTTTTATAAATGATAGTACTAAACAGCTATACCAACGACGACTGGATGAAAAACTACGAGAAATAGAGAGACAAACATTTTCAGATATTTACTAGAATATTATTGCTAGTTTACACCAGGCCTCTAAGGAGACACTCGGGACACAGCAAAACAAAATTAGTAACAAAATATGGTGGACCGAAGAAATCGAATATATGGTAAAACAGAAGAAAGAACAGCATCTAAAATGGCTAAATACAAAAAATACTGAAGACCATCAAGCTTACAAAAAAACCGATAGACAACTACGAAAAATGATAAAACAAGAAAAGAATAAAACATGGGATCAGAAATGTCAAGAAATCAATACATACATGGGAAGCAATGTACAGAGGTATGGAATTTTATACAATCAGTAAAAAATACAGGAAAAGACAAAGCACACATACACACCATAAAACCAAGACAATGGAAAGATCACTATGAAAGCTTGCTGATAGAGACAAGACAAGAATACCTAGCGAACTCCCCAACACAGTCAGTACATATACAAGGAGAGGAAGCCAGGGTAGACATCGAAACAGTAAGGAAGGCTGTAATGACCCTAAAGAATGGTAAATCCGCTGGACCTGAGGGAATCTATGCTGAAATGCTTAAGAATGGAACTCATAAACTATTTGAAAACTTAACTTATGTGATCAATCAGTGTCTAAATGGACACCCAGTACCAGAACAGTGGAGAACGGCATACATGTCCTCAATACACAAAAAGGGGGACAAAAGGAATTGTAATAATTATAGAGGCATATCGGTAACCAGCACCCTGAGCAGACTGTATGGACGAATTTTGAGAAATATGATCGAGGAAGAATATAAGCACAATGAAGAGGAAGAACAAAGCGGGTTCCGTGCAGGAAGATCGTGCACCGATAACGTATTTTGTCTTAAACAAATAATAGAAAAAAGATCAGCTAAGAATCTAGAAACTCATATTACTTTTGTAGACCTGCAAAAAGCATATGACAACATCCCCTTAACAAAATTGTGGACAACGTTGCAAAGATCTAACATCAACCACACATTGATAAATGCTGTACAAGAACTATATAGAGACTCAAAGGCACAGATAAAAACAGGAAAATATCTAACGGAAGAATTCCTGGTTACAAAAGGCTTGCGACAGGGATGCTGTATCTCACCAACCTTATTCAAGATATATGTTGCAGCAGCATTGGAAAGATGGAAAAGAAAGGTGCATAGGATGGGTATAGAACTTAGCAATGAATGTATATATACACTCCAGTTTGCTGATGACCAGGTAGTACTAGCGACCGACAGGGAAGACATGCAGTACATGCTTAGAAAACTGATAGAAGAATATAACGACTGGGGAATGAATGTCAATACAACAAAAACCAAATATCTTTGTATTGGAAACGAGTCAGATAACATAGACCTCGAAAACGGACAACATATTTCCTGCTGTCAGAGCTATGACTACTTGGGTGTTGCCTTTGACAATACAGGAACTGATACACGGGAAATAGAAAAACGAATCACTCAAGCAAAGAAAGTCTTAGGATGTCTCAATGGTATACTGTGGAGTAAAGAGATAACGAAAGGAAGAAAATTTAATATATATGAGACCATGATTAAAACTACTCTTCTTTATGGCGCTGAAACATGGAGAATTAGTGAAAAGAACAAAAAGCGAATAGAAGCAGTAGAGATGGATGCAATGAGAAGATCTTTAGGTATTTCCAGACGAGACCGAATCAGAAATGATGTAATAAAACAACGTATGGGAATAGAAGGAAATATAACTCAAGATATAGAGAAGAAACAATTAAGGTGGTATGGGCATGTTCAACGGATGCCAGCAACAAGACTCCCCAAAAAAGTAGTAGAATGGCAACCGATAGGTCGACGGAAAAGAGGAAGACCCAGATTAGAATGGCAACACGGCGTAAACAAGTCCATGAGCGAAAGAAATTTAACAACAAACGACTGCGAAGATAGGAAGAGATGGTGTTTAGGTATCGGACAACGTCGAAAGACGTTCTAAACCGATGTATATATAATGAGAGGTCCCGAATATAGGTTGCTACAAAATATCATGCAAGGAAAAATAGCAGGCAAACACAGTCCAGGACGAAGAAAAACCTCATGGTTGAAGAACTTGCGAGATTGGTATAGTGTTGATACAAGCATGCTATTTAGGGTGGCAGTGAAGAAAATTAAGATAGCTATGATAGTAACCAACGTTCTGTAAGAACATGGTACATAAAGTAGAAGAAGTAAATAAACTACCGAATCGGTCAACAGCCAAAAAATAGGTAAAGATGGCATCACAGCTGACTCAATACAGTGAAGGACGTTGTTTTTAAGAAACCACCTCTGCAACTGTCGGCCACCGAACATTACGCCGACGAATCATTCTTCGGTCCGCTTTCGGTTCAGCTCGTCCCAAGAGACACTTCTAGAAAACCGCAGCTTTAGTGATAGTGAGAGCCTCACAGCGTAATTCTAAATATTATTTATTAATATTGTGAAACAGAAAAAACTTACCTATTATGGCACCCACATTAATACTACTTGCGACTTTGCTCTGTAAAACTTTTCCTGTCTCCAACAATTTGCACGCTTCTGGTAAAACGTATATAAATTTTTTGAAACAACGTCCGTTCTAGATAAATTAAATAATTCATGATTTAAAAAGACATTAAAATTATTTTTAGTATTTTTTCTTACCTCTGTAGAATTCTTCCGAACATTATTGTTACATTTTAATTCGACTATGGTCTGAGAGTAATCCCGTTTATCTAAAATACAAATTATAAATAATATAAAATACTCATAAACACAAGACTCTCAAGTAGTTATAATATAGTAGGTCGTTAATCTGTGTTGTTTTGGATACAAATTTGTACCATAGCATTTATTTTAAAAAACATTTTTACTAGAAAACATTAACAGGAAGTATTCGACTAATTCCATTACGTTTTGACACGTTTTATGCTGTTTTGCTTGCAGATTAACCCATATTTCAATTGAAGCCGTTCTCACTTCTTTGGGGTTTTGAATAACCGGGATTCTTTACCTAGTCTTCTCCATAGCATATCTCGGATATTTTAAACCAGGTTTAAGTCCGACCTCGTGGGTAAAAAGGTAATATGCTACAATATGTGAACATAAAGCTGTCACATGGTATTGCGCAATGTTAGTAATGAACCGATTTGAAGTTAAAATTCCACCAACAGTCACCACCAGATCTGTGCGTGCCCCTAAATATATGCCAGCCCATACCGAAATTTAGCTTTATTTTGTTCTCTTGAATTTACAATAGTCTTATCCCTAAGTGTGGCGAAACGTGCTCGTTTCTCTTGATTTTCACTATATAAAATAAGAGTTGGTTGCAAAACAAACTATTACATAGTTGCATATTATGCAGCAAAACTCGCCCATACCTTCTTTTAACGAATCTAACCTAACATTTCATTAGTGTATTCGATTTGTTGCAGACATTAAAAAGTTTACTTTTTTAAATAAAATAATACAGTTTATATTTTAATTATTATTTTTAACAGTGTTTATACTAATGGATCCTAAACAAAAAAAAAAACAAGAATAGTTAAAGATAAGTGGAAGAGAAATATTGACAAAGGAAATAGGTAGGTTTATTTGAGGTTATGTTTAAATAAATAATTTTTTGCTTCAATTCAAACAATTTATTAATTTTATTTTGATTTATTCCAGGCATACAGCAAAAGGTTTTCCTTTATTACCAACATGCACTAATTCAAAAACTAGCTCGAGTAAAAAAATAGAAAACGAAAAAATTATGAAAGACTGGATAACAATGTAGAGAGATAAAGCTGTATATCCATAAAATATTTCGTGTCAACCCGACTCGCGGGAATGGTACAGTTTTGCTCCAACGTTTTTCTTACAATTTTGGGTATTTCTAAATGCCCAATTTCTTAAAATTACTACAGTTTGTGGAGTTCCATTATACAAGGAAGAAAAGCACCAGACACTATATGCCAAGTGATTGCATAGCAAATAACTCTGTATAATAACAGTATAACCAATCAGTAATTGACAACCTGCAGTATTCCTTCTTCCGGTATATTTTCAACTATTATTTTAATAATAGTTTCAAGACTGCAGCAACAGATGCTTGTTCGCAATGCATTCGTCTTAAATGCCAAAATAAAAACGATGCCTGCAGGACCCAGGAAGGTTGAAGTTATGGCTGAATATGCGGTTCATAAAAGGAAGGCAAAAAACTTTTTATTCTATGCTGAAAAAAGACGACGGGCCTTCTGTACTTAAACTTTCTACTGATTCTCAAAAGAACCTTGTGTTGCCATGTGTTCCTAGTATAGCAGGCAACTGTACCTCTACAATTTTACCATCAGTGACGGAAATTCTACTAGTGTTCAAAATTCTCGTTCGGTGTATGCTTATACATGGTGTGAACACCAAAGATATAAAGGGTTTAATGAAATCGCTTTGATTTTATACTACCATCTTATAAATAAGGACCTTTCAGAAATAAAGGAAATAATGATTTTCTGCGCATTGGTATGAATTTTTATACGAAACATTAAGTTGCAAAAAATTTACTGTTACTTATATTATGCTTGGACACTCCTTTATTCCTCCCGATGGGGTATTCGGGAGGATTGAACAAAAAATAAAAAAAAGGTCACAATATTACAACCTAGTGAATATTCGAATTTGTTTTTCCAATTTAGCACAGTTAGAAAAGTTGGGACCCAGGTAGTTCAAGACTGGAAAAGTGGCCTTATTAATAGAGAAAAATAAGAAAAATTGGCTTTAATAATAATAAAATTATTATCAATACGGTTTTTTAATAAATAATATTGTTTTGTATAAGTTCTATAAATCAGTCAGCTTTCATTCGTCGTGGTAGTTAGACGTGAGTAAGAAAGAAGCTTGTTTTTAAAACCGGTGTTTATAAATTAGATATATAAATAAATATTTCGTGAACTTTAAAAGTAAATTAATTACACTACACAAAAAGCGAAATTCGGAAAGACATTAAAAACTTATAAGTGCAGTTAGCGGAGGCGATGCCTCCGATAACAATGTTTTAGAAACCCAAATGGACACAGAAAATGCATCATCTTCAAAGGAGGAGCTGTTAGGATTTAAAAATCTGGTTCCGGTTATACAGATAAGTACCAAAAAACATGTTAATAATATACCCATTATCGATAATGACTTTGCTAATGTACAAACTTCAATAACAAATACTATAAACAAAGAAGTAGGAATAAAAAGGGAGGAATTTCTTTACCGACAAAACGACTTGGGACCTCATTACGTATATTTGGAAAATAATTCACCCGATTTTAAAGGCAGATTAAACGCCCTAAGGATAGGTGACATTATTATCTCAAATTTTAAAGAAGTCGATGAAAAAATTGTTAGCATCGACACAGTAGGGAGAAATAAAATACGCATAAAATTTAAAGATTACAAATCGGCCAACTATATATCTAAAAAAACATGAAGCAATATTTACAAAAAATAATTTAGACATATACATTCCTAAGTTTCTTGTAGTTAGACAGGGCGTAATAAGAGATATTTCCACAGAATTTTCAGTAGAGTATATTAAAGATAGAATCAAAATGTACGATTTACACTGTAAATTTGAAGTAATTCAAGTCAAAAGATTAAATAGGAGGCAAGTAGATGAAAACGGTACTCAATATATTCCAACAAAAACATGTGTAGTTAGTTTTAGGTCACAGGTACCACCAAAATATGTAACAATCAACAAGGTACTAAATAAAGTCGAGCCATACAAACAAAAGGTGATATTATGCTTTAATTGTCTTAGATTTGGACATACAGGGGGACAGTGTAAGAGCAGGGCTAGGTGCGATAAATGTCAGGAATCACACAACTCAAAAGAGTGTAAAACGACCGATATAACTCCAAAATGCTTAAATTGTTCGGGGAATCATTTTACTACAAATTTGAGCGCGTGTCAGGAATTTCAACGTCAAAAACTTGTAAAAGACGCTATGTCTTCCAGTAATATTAGTTATCAAGACGCCAACAGACAGTTCCCCAGAAACTCCTATGCAAAAGCAACAATCCCTAATATGGAACAAACTACTAACATTTCCTGCCTCAAAACTTTCCCTCCATTAAATCCCAATAATTATACACCCACCCAGCTCCCATCAAATCCAATTAACCAAATGTCAACAAATAACATATTTTACAACAATTCAAATAGTACAAATTCTAGAACATTTAAAAGACAGAGACCAAATAGTCCAGATCCAACATTAATTTTGCGTAATGAAATTATAGCTTCCCCTAGATCTCAATTACCTAAATTAACTATAAATGGAAACACGTCATCACATTCTCAGACCTCAACCATGCAATAAATATTCTCCAATGGAACTGCCGTTCGGCAGTTTCTAATAAAACTAACTTAGAATATCTACTAGACACGGGCAACTACTCCATTGCACTTCTATCGGAAACATGGTTTAAAGCAGAAAAATATTATAATTTTAAAGGCTTCAACAATATTCGCTGTGACCGGGACGACGGGTACGGCGGCTCGGCCATTTTATTAAAATCAGACTTAATATACCAAGAAGTCTCAATTCCAACTACAATAAACTTTGAGTATACTTGTATCTCGATTAATTTTCCATTTATACATAAAAAAATTTACTTCGTTTCAGTATACTTTAAACCGAGGACTAAAATATCATTACAACAGTGGATCAACTTTTTGGAACAAATCCCAAAACCATTCATAATTGGGGGCGACTTTAATGCACATAGTTTGGCTTGGAATGATGGATATGACGATATCTATGGCAAGATTCTTTTGGAAGCTATCGAACAATGCAACCTAGTAATTTTGAATGATGGATCACCTACACTAGCAAACAATAAGAAGTCAGCTGTAGACTTGACCCTCTGTACACAGGATATGACGCACCTAATTACGTGGTCTACTTTAGAAGAACCTTATGGCTCTAACCACTTACCAATACACATACAATTTGGAAGGAATAGCCCGCTTGCGCAAATTAAACAGACAAAACATAACATATGGAGACTCAAGGCTGCTAATTGGGATGTATATACCGCTACACTTGAAGCTACAGAACCAAAATCATCACTAAGGGGCATTATCCACAATATTAACAAAGCTGCCAACGAGGCAATTCCCTTACAAAAATCAAACACACAAAATAGAAATCATTGTTCAAAAGACTGGTGGAATGAAACTTGTAACATAGCTGCTAAAGCAAGAAAACAAGCTTACTTAACCTACACACATGCTCCAAATCTTAATAATCTAACTGAATATAAAATACTTGACGCAGTAGCTAAAAAAACATTCAAAGAAGCTAAGAAAAAAAGCTGGATTAATTATTGCCAAAATCTAAATCAAAATACACCAATCAAAGAAGTGTGGAACAAAGTAAACCGATACAAAAACCGAAAACAAGTAAATAAACCCCCAATAGACCCCAAAGAAGACTGGATAAACGAATTCCACGCAAAAATCTCACCCCCATGGGTTGAAAACAACATTACTCAACAAATAGCTACCGTAAATAGAAACACCTCTTTTCTACAATCACTATTTCAATTATGGGAACTCGATCAATGCATTAAATCAACAAATAATAAATCTCCCGGGGCGGATAACATTTCATACAATATGTTGCATAAAATGCCCTTAGGCCATAAGAAAGCCCTGTTAGAATTGTTCAATTCGATTTGGATAAATAAGATTCCTTTTCCT